GATGGATGGATGGATGGATGGATGGATGGATGGATGGATGGATGGATGGATGGATGGATGGAGGGGGGAGATAGGATAGGGAGAGAGAGAGAGAGAGAGAGAGAGAGAGAGAGAGAGAGAGAGGGAGAGAATGTATGTATATATGTATATATATATATCTCAAATTTATATATGGTTTGTCATGAATGTGACTGCTTGAGGGCTCCTGGATTGGAGCTGAAAGGTGAAAGGGATGCAGTATGCTCCCTCCCACATGTTGGGGTAGACCAGGTGTCTCGATAGGAAAACGATAGATAGATAGATAGATAGATAGAGAGAGAGAGAGAGAGAGAGAGAGAGAGAGAGAGAGAGAGAGAGAAAGATTAGATGATAGACAGACAGATAGATGATAGATACAGAGAGACAGAGAGATGGATAGACAGACAGTGATACAGACAAACAGTCCTTACTCCAAGCACCTCCCAGTCTAAATTGGGATGGCAAGGGGAAAAAAGGAAGTGAATACAGGTAGACTTTGACTTATTTGTATTTCTGAATAGTGATACATCTTATGGGGACACACAAACCCCCTCCCCAAAAGATCAGGCTGTTAATGCTTTATGCCTCAAGCGAGAGACTGCAGAATTAAGCCAGAGCTGATTTCCTCTCATAATCTAAAGCAGATGTTTTCGACCTGGGAACTTCAATTCCCCCAGAGGTGGGGCAGACCCCAAATCTCTTTCAAGCACGGCTGCAGGGGAGACGACCGCAGCGTATGACAAAGTCACCGTCAGAGAGGAAGGGGCCGTGGCCCTCCAGGGCCGGCGGGGGGAGGGGCACTCACCACAGGATAGGATGAAATTTGGAGAGGTCAGCATGATGAAAGGGAAAGTTTGCAGCAGTCCGAAGTAGACCAGGTTGGTGAAGAGGCCCACGCCCACCACGAGACCCGGGAAGTGCTCAAAGAGATACAGGCCGACCAGCACGGCCGTGGAGAACTAGGAGAGAGAGAGAGAGAGGGAGGGGGGTCAAATCATCCAGGCCAAGGGCTTTGAAGGTGGAATCCTGGCAACTGGACTCCTTTCTCCTTGTTCAATCGGAACAGCGCTGGAAGGGACCTTCGAGGTCTTCTAGTCCAACCCCCTGCTCAAGCAGGAGATCCTGTACCAGGTCACTGGAGGTTTTTAAGAAGAGATTGGACAAATGACTGTCGAGTTTCTTCTTAGAAAACCTCCAGAGATGGAGCACCCACAACTTCTGGTGGCAAGGCGTTCCACTGGTTAATTGTCCTCACTGTTAGGACGTTTCTCCTTAATTCCAGGTTGCTTCTCTCTTTGGTAAGTTTCCATCCGTCGCTTCTAGTCCTGCCTTCCATTATTTTGGAGAATAGCTTGACTCCCTCCTTCTTTGGGGCAGCCCCTCAAACACTGCACTACTGCAACCCTGTCACCCCTCATCAAAATTTTAATGGGTTATTTTATAGATAAAAGGTTTTAAAATTTGGGGAAGCCAAACCGATCAAATTCTGTTTTAATTTATTTTAATTTTTATATTGTATGTATTTTAATCTTGGCTGTTCATCGCTCTGAGTCCTTCGGAAAAAGGGCAGTATACAAATTTAATAAATCTAATCTAATCTAATCATCCAAGCAGTTTCTTCGGCCAGAGGAAGCTCGTGAGGCAGAGAGTCTTGGGAATGGACCGATTCCTTTGTTCCAACCTTTGCAGGGAAGGACTGAGAATCCACCTGTCGCAACGGGTTTTGGGGAGGAGACCCCTGAGATGGGTGTGGACCGGAGCCGGTCCCCTCCAACGACTCTCTGCCCAGCTAATTTGCTCTGAGTGTTGAAGCTGCTTGGATGAGGAGCAGTGAAACGTCTTAAATCACCAAAAATGACTGTCTGGTTGTCACGATCCAACCTTCGGAGACGAGAGAAAGCGGGGGACTCTGATGGATCAACGCCGTGCTCAGACCAGGCGCCGGGGGTGGGGTGGGGGGGGAGAGAAGGGGCAGCAGCCTCCTCGCCCGGAGCCTGCCGCTCTCTTCGCCACCTCTGGCCACGCAGGAGGTGGGAAAAGCGACACCAAAAAGAAGAAAAATGTCCCTCTAAATCTCGGTTTCTCAACCGCAGCAAATTCTGCCAGCTGAAGATGCCCCACATCACCCACTATACAGGCAGTCCCCGACGTACGACCACAATCGAGCCCAAAACTGTCACTGAGCAAGGCTATGTGGTGGTCCATTGAACTTTGCCCCGTTCCACGACCTTTCTGGCCGCAGCTGTTGAGTCAACCTGGCTTCCCCGTGGATTTTGCTCGCCAGAAGGGGATCACGTGACCCCCAGGGACGCCGCGACCGTCATAAATGTGAGTCAGTTGCCAAGGGTCTGAATTTGGATCCCGTTGACTGTGAGGCTGTTGCAATGGTCGTAAGTGTGAAAACTGGTCGTAAGTCACTTTTTTCGGTGCCCAAGCCAACGGCTGTAAGTTGAGAACCACCTGTAAATGTTTTCTCCGGGGAAGGGGGGGATGGGGCCGTGGAAAGCAGCCAAGAAAGGGGGGGGCTCTCCCTCTCTGCCCCCTCCCTGCCCCAGACCAGAGAGCCCTGCGGAAAACCCAGGCGAAAGGCAGGCGGATGCTTACCCAGATCATGTATTTGATGATCCGGCTCGTGGCCACTGTGTACTCTTCTATCAGCTCCGCCAGGTAGTACAATCCAGCCGCTGGGAGGGACGGAGGGAGAGGAGAAACACCCAACCATTAGGCCATCTTGCCACACTGCCTAACCACAGTCAGCCTCCCAGCCTACAGGGGAGGCCAAGGCCCAATTCCTCCCACACCCCTGGCTGGACAGGCAGGGAGAGCAGCCTCCGATAGGGCCAACCGGTCCCTCCAGGCGTCCAGCTCAGCCGCAGGACGGGAGGCAGGAGCGAATGGAGGAAACCACGGCCCTGCCTCTCCCCAGGCACCGAAGCCAGGCAGCTCCTGCTAGCACGACGTCTGCTTTCCCACCCGGATATCGGCAGGAGGTAGAAGATGGAGAGAGAGAGAGAGACAGAGACTACATAGATAGATAGATAGATAGATAGATAGATAGATAGATAGATAGATAGATGATAATCATAGGATAGATAGATGATTGAGAGAGAGAGATAGAGAGAGAGAGAGATGGGAGAGAGATGATAAGATAGATCAAGGTCAATAGAGATGACAGACTGACAGGTATTTCTCAACCTCAGCAACTTTAAGCTGGCTCACTTCAACTCCCAGAATTCCACCCATCTTAAAGTTGTCAAGGTTGAGAAACCCTGATTGATAAGATTTTATACTGATCGATTGATAGATCAATATAGAGTAGACTGATAGACTGATAGGCAGATGATAGATTATATAAATGGCTGGTTTTGAGAAAGGAACGAGAAAAAGGCAGGATAAAACACTTATTATTACATTACTAAAGCTCTGTATCTATAACTTTACCAAGAACTACAAGAATCTGGAAAAGAATTCCTGTAACCTTAACTGTTCCTACATTGGTAATTGTTTTTATAGATTTGTACTTCTGTTGTGAGCTGCCGAGCTGGGCAGCATTTAAATTGAATAAATAAATAAATAAGTGTAGATGTATGTGCTTGTGAGAGAGAGAAAAAGGAAGGAAGGAAAAAAAGAAAGAAAAGAAAGAGAGAGAGAGAAAGAAGGAAGGGAAGTAAAGAAAGAAAATAAAGAAAAGAGAAAAGAAACAGAAAAGGGAAAGAGAAAAAGAAGAAAAGAAAAAGAAAGAAGGGAGGAAGGAAAAAAGAAAGAAAAGGAAGGAAGAGAGAGAGAGAAGGAATGGAAGTAAAGAAAGAAAAGAAAGAAAAGAAAGAAAAGAAAGAAAAAAGGGAGAGAAAAAGAAGGAAGGAAATAAGAAAGAAAAGAAAGAAAAGAAAAGAAAGGGAGAGAAAAAGAAAGAAAGAGAAAAGAAAGAAAAAGAAGGAAGAAAAAAAGAAAAGAAAGGGAGAGAGAGAGAAAGAAGGGAACTAAAGAAAGAAAGAAAGAAAAAAGAAAGAAAAGAAAGAAGGAAAAAAGAAAAAGAAAAAAAGAAAAAAGGGAGAGAGAAAAAGAAAGAGAAAAGAAAGAAAGAAAAGAAGGAAGGAAGGAAAAAATAAAAGAAAGAGAGAAAGGGAACGAAAGAAAGAAAGAAAAAAGAAAGAAAAGAAAAAGAAGGAAAGAAAGAAACGAAAAGGAGAGAGAGAAAGAGAGAGAGAAAGAAGAAAGGGAAGGAAAGAAAGAAAAGAAAGAAAAGGGAGAGAAAGAAAAGAAGGAAAGAAAGAAAGAAAGAAAAGAAAGGGGGAGGGGGAAGAGAGAGAAGCCATCTAATCCTCCCTCCTTCCTTTCCCTTACAACAACGACCCTGCGAGGTAGACCGGCCTGCCTTCCATGCCCTGGCACAGCCTCCTCCTCCTCCTCCCCCCCCCACCCATGAAGGAGCCCGTGAGGGGGGGGGAGGGGAGCGTGGGGGGGGGGTTGGGCGCTCCTTGGGGGGGCGGAGGCTCCGGCCAGGAGGGGGCGACGCCACGTCGGGCGGGACCATCGCGCTCCGGGCGGGGGGGGAGGGCGAGAGTGGGGCTTGGGGGCCCCCGGGGGGGGGCCTTCCGCGGGGAGGGGCGGGGGCTCCGCTCACCGATGCCGAGGGTGACGAAGGCGGCCTGGATGAGGAGCGCGAGCCAGCTCAGCGCGTACATGAACCACATCGTCGCCCCGCGCCTCACCCGGCGGCTGGCACCGATGGCTCCGCCCGGCACTTCCGGCACAGGCGGAAGTGGTTGGAATAAAGCCGCCGTCGCCTCCTTTCCTCATCTCCCCTCCCCACAGCGGCCCCCGGCGGTCGGAGGTGGCGCGGCAGGACGACGCTCGCCTCTCTCGGTTAACCCGGAAAAGAGAGACGAGGGGGAGGAGACTATGGCCCTTTGATGACTTCTGCACTTCAACTCCCAGAATTCCTGAGCGCAGCCATGGTGGTTGAAGAATTCTGGGAGTTGAAGTCCACCAGTCATCAAGGGGGCATCGTTCCCCACCTCTCTCTTAGAGGTCCATGGAAGCCCTTCCATTAAGGGAGATAATCCAGGGTCATTTGCAAGGGCTCTGCCTTGCTCTGTGTTTGTCTCTCGTGTGTGAGCGTGTGTGTTTCCTGAACCACCTTGACAGATTCAGCCCTTCCATGTTTATTTACTTATTTATTTATCAGTCAAAATACAGTATTTACCCTCTCACCAGAATTGATTCCAGCTGGTGCACAACAACCAAATAAGCATTTTTATACCAACAACTGTTGTACTATATATATATGTATATATTATAAAACAATCATTATAAAAACATGGATGATCATTATTAAATATCAAAATATTTGACTTATTTATTAAATTCGTTTGCCGTCCATCTTGCCACAGGGCAACTCTGGGTGGATTGCAACAATGAAAGGAAACCATAAATATTCCGGGAGAGATGGGCTCCAGCACGAATCCGAAAAGCTCGGAAGACTAAAACCTCTTGCAACATTACCCTGGGATACGTAGATTTGCCTTCACTTGTGAAACCATAAATGTCTGAAAATATGTATAAAGGCACATTAAAATTGCAATAAAATATACGTTCAATTGCTAAAGATGGGGAGGGAGGGAGGGAGGAGAACATGCAGGAGGGGAGGCGGGAACTGCGAATGGAAGGTCAGAAGGGAGGGAGAGATCTCACCTGGAGGAGGCAGGTAAAGTGCTCCAAAGGGCAGAAGCCATGGCAGAGAAGGCCCTTCTCCTCAGCCCCTCCAGCCGGAATTCCCTGATTGACGGGGACCTCAGCATCCCTTCTCTGCTTGCACAAGTGGGGGGAGGGAGGCAGTCCCAGTGGAAGGTGATGGTTTCTCAAGTCACCTGGAGTCCCTGGGCTTTAAAGGTGATAACCAACACCTTGGAATATTGCATTCAGTTTTGGTTGCCACAATGTAAAAAAGATGTGGAGACTCTGGAAAGACTGAAGAAGAGCAACAAAGATGATTAAAGGGCTGAACTAAAACATACAAAGAACAGTTGCAGGAACTGGGTATGGATAGTTTAATGAAGAGAAGCACATAGGGTGACATGATATTTGAGGGGCTGCCCCAAAGAAGAGGGGTTCAATTTATTTTCCAAAGCACCAGAAGGCAGGAGAAGAAGCAACGGATGGAAATGGATCAAGGAGAGAAGGAACCTGGAATTGAGGAGAAACTTCCTGTCAGGACAATTAACCAGTGGAACAGCCTGCCACCAGAAGTTGTGGGTGCTCCATCGCTGGAGGTTTTTAAGTAGAGACAGGACAGCCATTTGTCTGGAATGACATAGGGTCTCCTGCCTGAACAGAGGGTTGGACTAGATGACCTCCAAGGTCCCTTCCAACTTTGTTCTTCTGTTACAGTGACAGTTGTACGGGGCTCCATCACTGGAGGCTTTCAAGGAGAGACTGGACTGCCGTTCGTTTGACGTGGTACAGGGTTGCCTGCTCGAGCAGGGGGTTGGACTAGATGACCTCCAAGGTCCCTTCCTTGAATTGCACCCCAGCAACGAGTGCAGCTCGTGGAGCAGCGTTGTGCCGCGGGCCACTCCAGGGGTCCCAGAGGGGGCTTGGTTACGTGTGTGCCTTGGAAGGGCTGACCGCCTTGGGCTGCGGGAAGGATATGTGCCTGGCCTTGAGCCTCAGTGGGGCAGCCCAAGGCAAGAGGTGGGGGGTGGAGAAAGAGGTTGCAACGGAAGCCCCTCGTCGATGGGTGGGTGGGTGAGTGGGTAGCTGCAAAGAAGCCCGGGTGAGATTGTCGCCGTGTCCCTGGTGTTCTCTCCCACTAATGCAGTCTGGCACTTCCCGTACTCAGGCGGGCCTGATCCTGCTGCTCACTGACCGTGCGCTGAATCTGCTGATCTTTGCACCTGCGTGGCAGACGGAGGGCCAAGGAGGACCCACATCCCCGGCCCCATGGGCAGCTCTGGGGCATCGGAAGAAGCCGCCAAAGCCAAGCCAGGAGGCGCCTTCGAAGCACCAGCCGGGTGCCTCCCTCTTCATGTGCACTGATGGCGGCCTGACCTTCAGGCTATGTGTGTGGAGGGAGCCACAAGGGCACACCCGTTGCACCCCCTCGCACGCTGCCAGAGGCACGTAGAAAAGCACATTTGTGCTCCGGGCTTTGGAGAACTCAGGGGTGCCTGGCGATGGTCTTTGGTGCAGGGTGCAAATCGCACGTTTCCTCCTACAGATACTCTGAGCTGCCTCTTATCTGCCCTCAGCTCTGGAAGGTCATCACATCAGAATAACAGAAGTGGAAGGGACCTTGGAGGTCTTCTAGTCCAACCCCCTCCTTAAGCAGGAAGACCTTGCAGTCGAGGTCTTCAAAGATGGCAGCTTTTAAGACTTGTGGCCAGCTATGCTTTTGAAGACCTCTGTCCTAGACCATTTCAGACTCCGGGTTCAAGAGATGGCGGCACTGGCTGACCAGAAAAAGCTGCTTCAAAAGGCCCAGGGGAGAGTAAATTTCCTTATTACCATTCATTTATTAAATTTATTGGCCGTCCATCTGACCACAAGATAAATCTCTACTCCCAGGGAGCTCCCTGGCCATTGTCCTGATCTTCTATTTAAAAACCTCCAGTGATAGAAACACCCACAACTTCTGGTGGCAAGCTGTTCCACTGGTTAATTGTTCTATCAGGAAATCCCTCCTTAGTTCTAGGTTGCTTCTCTCCTTGATTATGTGCCATCCGTTGCTTCTTGTCCTGCCCTCAGGTGCTTTGGAGAATAGCTTGACTCCCTCTTCTTTGGGGCAGCCCCTCAGATATTGGAAGACTGCTCTCATGTCTCCCCGAGTCTTTCTTTTCATTAAACTGGACATACTCAGTTCCTGCAACCGTTCTTCATATGTTTTAGCCTCCAGTCCCCCTAATCCTCTTTGTTGCTCTTCTCTGCACTCTGCACTCTTTCTAAAGTCCTAAGTCGTGTCTCGTGGTGACCAAAACTGGATGCAGTACTCTAGGTGTGACCTTACTAAGGCTTTATAGGGTGGGATTAGTACCTCACCTGATCTTGATTGTATCCCTGTGTTAATGCAGTTTAGGATTGCATTGGCTTTTTGGGCTGCTGCCTCATATTTAGCTGGTTGTCCACTGTGACTCCAAGCTCCCTCTCACAGTTCCTGCTGTTAAGCCTGGTTTCACCCAGTCTGTATGTGTCCTTTTGGGTTTTCTTGCCTAAGTGTAGGACTTGACTTTTCTCTACCTTGAATTTCATCTTGCTAGAGAGGGCCCAGCGTTCCCGTCTGTCAAGATCCATCTGGATCATTAGCCTAACTTCTAGGGTGTTGGCTGTTCCTGCCAGCTTCCCTTTTTCTGAGCTGGAAGCAAGTGGATTGTCTTCTCCGGAGCTGCTGATGGGAGGGCGAAGGAGGGAGGGGGCCTCCCCAGGGACCCCTCACCCCAATGTGCCAATCAGGAGGGGAGTGAGGCTGAAATCAAAGGGAGGTGTGAAGTTCGGCCGGGAAACAGCACATCTCCATCTGCAGACTCGCTTCTCTTCTCAGCTGGGAGGGTCCCAGGGCAGCTCCCCTCCCTCCGCTGCGAGAAGAGGAGGAGGAAGGAGAAGGAGAAGTCGAGCGGAATCCGTTCCAGAGGAGAAAATGCGCAGGGAAGTGGAGAAGGCGCCCACCCCCCCCAGGGATGGGCCAGGAAGGGTGGGAGAACTCCAGCCGAAGACAAGGCTTTGCAGCAAAGTCAGCCAGTGGGGGGGAAACTTGGTTAGGGGGTGAGCGTGGGGCAGGGCTGCCTCCTCTTGGGGGCCAAGATGGACAATGCCAAAGGGGGAAGGAGGGCCCACCCCAAACTTACCTGACGGAGCCTTTTGAGCTAATGAGAAAAGGGGATTTCCTTTTTCAATCCCCCTCCCCGCAGTTAAAATACAAAATCAAGAAAGAAGAAGAAGAAACAAACTGATGTCGTGGTGACGCTAATAACGATTTTTTAAAAAAAAAACCACATGTGCCCCAATTACATGATCCTTGGGATGCTACACTCGTAAGTGTGCCAAATGGTCGTAACTAAGGCCCACTTTTCCGGTGCTGTTGTAACTTGGAACGGTCACTAAACGTTCTGTGGCAGGTCTAGGAATACTGGTATGGATTCCTCGGGTTCTTTTGACCGCAGATGTCCAGAGGAGAGAGGAGAGGACAGCCGCGGCTTGCATTTGAAGGACACGTGGAGAGCTGGACATCGGATCCATCTTGACAAGATCACTTCCAAACGGAGCAAGAGAAAGAAGAATCCACAGGAATCTCCAAGTCCAGCCCCCCAAAGCTCTGGCTTCATTCCTGCTACAAAGCCTCCTTCCTCAACCAGATGTTTTCCAGATGTGCTGCATGGCAGCCCCTAACACAAAGGTCTTCAAACTTGGCAGCTTTGAGACATGTGGACTTCAACTCCCAGAATTCTCCAGCCAGCTGGCTGGAGAATTCTGGGAATTGAAGTCCACAAGTCTCAAAGCTGCCAGGTTTGTCTTTTGTCTTTTCTGCTTTTAGCTGGGAAGGTCAGGAAGGAAAGCGGCCACTTCTGTGGAGGACCAAGGCCTGTTTCCCCCTGGGCCATAAACTACCCCAATCCAGAAGACTCCAATCCAGTGACTCTCACCCCAGGTGGCCCAAGAGATGCTCTAATCCGGGGGACGTGGGCAGGGGCGTGCAAAAGGGGGTCAGAAAAGGTCCACACCATAACAGAGTAGGAAGGGACCTTGGAGGTCATCTAGTCCAACCCCCTGCTCAAGCAGGAGACTCTCTACCATTTCAGACAAGAGGCTGCCCAGTCTCTTCTCCAAAGTCTCCAGGGATGGAGCCACCCACAACTTCTGTTCCACTGGTTAATTCTTCTCACTTTAGGAAGTTTCTCCTTAATGAATTGCCTTTTGGTGCTTTGCAAAATAGGTTGACCCCCACTCCTTTGTGGCAGCCCCCAAATATTGGAAGACAGTTATCATGTCCCTCCAACGGGATTTTTAACCCATTCTAGGCTAGACAGAATAACAGAGCAGAATAACAACCACTCGGGTGGTTGTCGGGGTTTTTTCTTTTCCAATATGAAGATATTTGTTGCTGATGGGGGCAGATGGTAACTGAAGATATGGAAAATACTGTTGGAATAAGGATGCGATGTTACCCTAACATGGGTGGAGTTCATCATCCAGTTGAAAGATACTCCAGAAGATGCTATATGGATCATAAGTTTAAAGTTTTTTTTTTTTCTTTTAGGATCTTATTTACATAAGGGAATATTTTTCTAGGGGATTGGGTAGAAGAATAAAGATATTAAGAATAATTATGGTAATTCTGTAGGAAAGTGGGTGGAGAAAGGTTAGGTTATGGATTGTCTATTTTAAAGAAATGTTTAGATGTGAATATTTGTAATGAAGGGGGGAAACGAAATGGCTACTGGAACTGAATAAGTGTTAAATTAGGACTTTTTGAATACTTAGAATAGAAGTATGTTTTGAAATGTTATATTGTCTGAGGGGTAGTAAAAGGGTAGACTACGAGTAGAAATTGTTAAATTGGGAGATATAATAATATTATTATTTTAAATCAGGAGTTATTAGATAATGTTATAATAGAATGTCACTTTGAAATGCTTATTATAGCATAGTATACGGGGGGGTATGATAATCTTATTAAAAGGAAAGGGTCAGTATATGGAGATTGAGTATGTGGATAGTAAAGTATGATATAATCTGTTATGAACTTGGGTTTTACTATGAGGAAGTCAAGGGGAGGGGGGGTGGGGGGGGAGGAGGGGGGGGGAAAAAGGGGGAAAAATCTGTATTTGAAAAACTTTTTCAATAGAATAACAGAGCTGGAAGGGACCTTGGAGGTCATCTAGTCCAACCCCCTGCCCAAGCAGGAGACCCTATAACATTTCTAACGAATGACTGCCCAACCTCTTCTTAAAAATCTCCACTGTTGGAGCACTCACAACTTCTGGTGGCAAGCTGTTCCACTGGTTAACTGTCCTCGCTGTCAGGAAATTCGTCCTTAGTTCCAGATTGCTTCTCTCCTTGATCCGTTGCTGCTTCTCCTGCCTTCAGGTGCTTTGGAGAATAGGCTGACCCCCTTAAGAAAATCAAAATCATTTTTTTTCACCTGCGTTCTGTGTGAACCTTTGAATTTCCTGACACCCACCCCCCTTCCAATAGGACACCCTGAACGTGGGTCTGCCCCACACATGCTGGCCAATGGGCAGAGTTGGTACCGGAGTGCGGTGCGGTACCGGAGCAAACTTTCCCCTTCGTAGGCCAGGAGTTTGGCAGGGCCAGTGCCAGGCATCCGTTCTTTATGCATCCGTGCCCTGATGCCAGCTGACACGGGAGCTGCATTTGGTACCTCACACATAAGTGATCTGAACGGCCTGCTATTTTCGTTGATGCTAATTTGCTCGGTGATTGCCACGGTTCGTGGCTCGGTCAGCCTTGCCTGATACTATATTCCCGTTTGTTCCGCTAAAGGTTTCTCTGTCAGTTTGGCTCAGCCTCGCCGGACTTCATGAACCATGAATGCACGGCGGTTGGGGATTGGGACACGTGAGCCGGCTGCAGCCTGGAACAAACAATCTGCGTGTGCATGGAATCATGCGCCAGCCTCGGAGGAATCTTTGCTAAATCCAGCACTGAGAAGCCCAGAATAACACAGTTGGAAGGGACCTTGGAGGTCTTCTAGTCCAACCCCCTGCTCAAGCAGGAAACTCTATGCCGCTTCAGACAAATTGCTTTCCAATCTCTTCTTAAAAACCTCCAGTGACTGAGCACCTACAACTTCTGGTGGCAAGCTGTTCCACTGGTTAATTGTTCTCACTGTTAGGACGTTTCTCCTTCATTCCAGGTTGCTTCTCTCCTCGATTACCCTGTTTCCCCCCAAAATAAGAGATCCCCTGATAATAAGCCCAATCGGGCTTTTGAGCGCATGGCAATAAGGCCAAGCGCTTATTTCAGGGTTCAAAAAAATATAAGACAGGGTCTTATTTTCGGGGAAACACGGTAGTTTCCATCCGTTGCTTCTTGTCCTGCCTTCAGGGTCTTTCCAGAATAGCCCTTTCCTCTTTGGGGCAGCCCCTCAAATACTGGAAGACTGCTCTCATGTCTCCCCTGGTCCTCCTTTTCACTAGACCAGACTTACCAAATTCCTACAATCCTTCTTTATATAGCTTTGCTGGCTGGGGAATTTTGGGAGTTGAAGTCCACAAGTCTTAAAGTGGCCAAGGTTGGTCCAAGACGCCCTTGCCATCTTTCCTGGGAAAGCAGGGATGCCCCTGCTGGAAGGCAGCGTCTCTGGCTAAGCTGGCCATGTGTCACCCCCCTCCCAGCCCCTGGGGCGAGAGTGAGGACCCCTGCCTGGCAGGGGGCTTCTCACTTAATGAGATGACTTCAGGGTCACGAAGAAAGGGCACCAGCTGGGTGAGCCGATACTGGGATCTCCGCCTTCGGTGCCCACAAGGCAGGCAGGGTGAAAGGGTGAGGGACCCAGCCTGGGCACCCCCTCCCCTTCCCTGCTCCAGGTCCTTTCCTCTCCAGCAGCCCACTCCCCACCCTAATGCCTGCGGGGATCTGTTTGTGTCCGATTCTAGCCCAGTCCATGGTTGGCTCTTCCTTCCCCCCACTCAGCTCTT